TCCAATTGATGCATCTATCTTAGGGCATTTCCCTTTTTCCACTTGCCACTTGCCACTCCCTCCCTTCCTGTTTCTGTGTGGCACTTTGCCAGGCTACGCATTTTCAAACTCAATTCGTGCGATAAACTAAAATAAAACTGCTCCTAATACCATTTTTTATTCTTCTCCAATACTCTGGGTCTCTTTCTCTCTTTTTTTTATGGCCCCCACATGGATTTCACTTTTAGTCGAGAGCCCTCCCTATCCCTAGCCCCCCTTCATGCAGATGAAAATTGCATTTTCTATGTCAAAGGCGTTTAATTTTCAATTTTTTTCTGTTGTCTGGCAGCAACTTTTAGTTTTAGTTTCAGTGGAAACGTTTGTCTTGTGTTTTTGGCATGTAATTTGGAAAAAGGTTCATTCGGAAATTGCATTTCTTGCCGGCGGTTGGCACTCGGATTTTTTAACTATTTTTTGGGGGGGAAATGTTAAATTACTGTTCGGTACGTGTCTGTTCAATAATTAAAATGCCAGCAATTAAATAATAATAACCGAATGGATGGAGGCAGGCCCATAATGCAAATGATAAGTTCTTTTTAACACGATTTACTTTGCACAGTATTTTCAGTTAATGCGCTCAGTGGAGGTCCTTCCCGCAGGTCCTTTCTCAGCCCACCATGTGAAGCCGCAGTAATTAAAGCGCATTATATATGCCAGGATGGACAAAAAAAAAATACAAAAAATATACAAAAATTGCGAGAAAAATAAAGAAAATTACTGCAGCTGTGGCATTAACACTAACAGCAGCGATAAATGCAGATTATAATTTGGTAGAAAATACAGGCTTGGACACCACAGGCCAGAAGGCCTTAAAGATAGAAGAACCTCACTCCCAGGAATTCTAGTACTAGAGTTCAAGTAAACAAAGCCAACCGAATGTGGCACGTAAACACAAATGAATCCAGGCTAAGGCCAGTTGAGAGAAATACGAGTAAACAATGGAGCTGTTTTTACCAAGAAACTCCAAGAAAATCAACCTCCAACCAAGCTGGAGGTTTCCATTGCACTCAAGAGTAAACATATTTGTGGAATCGAAAGCATTTCCAATTTGTTTGTTTTTCGAAATAAAATAGTTGAGAAAATATTTAGTCTCTTTAGTCTATTTGACAAATATTGATATTAATCTGTAACTTAATTTCTTAGCAAAAGGTACTAAGTCTCTTTAAAGATTTATTAAAATTAACCCACGGCTCTTGGCCTGTTGGCTCTTGGCGGGGTTCTTCGGCTTCTTGGCCATCATTTGTAAACACATATTCAGGCTTATAAGTTTTTTTTTTTTGCCACCAGCAGTGGCGGCGCTTGTTTGGCTTATGTTTGCCATGTAAACAAATAAACAAATCAACAATAAACACACATCCTCCTCCATGTGGGGGTAAAAAACATAAATAGAAAAGACCAAGCGGACGGGAAGTGCATTTTGCATTTGCAGTTGCAGCTGCGGTGTTGAGATTCAAGTCAAGAGAACCGTTTAAGATGCAATTAAATCCCTTGACCTCACTCGAAATTCCAAACTAATTGCACAAGCTTACAAAAAAAAAAAAGCAGAACGTGGGAAATGGAGACGCCTCAGATTGTCAATTGCAGATATTTGCAGATATGGCCTGGCATGACGAATGGAAGCATTTCCAAGGTGTGGTCTTCAAATTGCAATGAAAAAAAATGCATGAAGCACCAACCACAGGTAAAGCAGGGCCAATTGAATCATCATCAGTCAGTCAGTCAGTCTTGTGGGCTTCAAAGTTCATTTTTCAGCTCATTTAAATGCTAAGCATGCGATGCTCGGTTTAGAAAACTTGAAGCGACAAACCGACCAAACTTTTATCTAGACCATTAAGTTTTACAAAGGAAAATATGTCAGTTAAGTACTGCGTTTTTTTTCTATTTAAGTTCTAACATCAAACCGACGAACCGCGATGATGACTCAGCCAAAGTCAACAAAGAAGCCAAAGCCAACTCTTGGCGGGCAATAAAACACGGCCTCCAAAGACACTTTTAGCTCAAAGCGGCGGGTACTGCTCTGAAATATGTATCTATGTAAGAGTCATATGCGTTTCTTAAAAAGATAACACTAGCCAGCAAGAAACTAACCTCTATGGAAGTATGTACTTCCCATCTTTAGTTCTCAAGACTTTATATTATTTTTTTTAATTTTCTTAAGTTTCTAACTAAAGATTTTAAAGACCCCTCTAATACTCCTTACTTGCTCATCAGTGTAAAGATATTCTCTTGTTTTTTTTTAAGAAGTGGAATGAGGTTTCTTTTGGTTCTAATTTGCTTGGGTCATGCGTCGAGGTTAATGAGTCATATCATCATCATTATCTCAACACTCTGGGTCTTGAGGGGCTGGGCTCTGAAAGAAATGGATCTAAAGTGGAGGAAAGAGAGGACATCATCAGAGGACAAACATTAAAATATAATTTCCAGAGACAATGCTCTGAAAAGCGCTTTTGTTTTTGTAATTTAGTTGCAATTAAATGTAAATAAATTCACAATTTAGTTCGTTTTTTCTTTCTCTCTTTTGGTTTTGGGTTTGCTGTTGGCTGGTTTGGTGACCCGATTTCTGCAATTTAATGACTTTTGTTTGACCAGAGTATAATTTCTGGGAAAAAAAACGAAAAAAAAGCAAGAAAAAAGCATGCTTAGCAAGCAGGGAAGTAGGGAAACAGGCAGCGGGAGGTGATTGCTGAATGAAATTGCGGAACTTTCTTCTTTCTCATTTATACTTTCTTTCTGGCCTAGGCCTCTGGCTTTGTTTTTCTTCCTTAATTCTCTTTCACTTTGTGCGTCTTTTGTTTGGTTTAGTTCTCTAGTCCTCTCTCCTTCGATTGTCCTTCCTTTCTACATGTCCTGGGTATCCTTCTAACGAGCTACGGCGATAATTTTCAGCCAAGGCGCACACATTTATTGACTTTTTGTGGCATTTTTGTGGATTTTAGATTTGTGGCCTGACCTGTTTGCCTTTCTTTGACCCGCAACGGAAATGAGTCGTGCCTGTCTTTAGGTTCAAGGTTCAAGGTTGTCCTCCCACTCTTTCTACGTTGATATCTTTCTTAAACACACACAACCTCACACGCACTCCTATGGATAAGAAAGGCAATTTGCTGGAAGAGAGAGAAATGGGCGAGGGAAATGGAAAGAGACGGGTGTAACCAAATGCACTTTTGGGGGAGGGGAGACATTAAGCGGCGGAAGTTGATAAGAAAGGCAAGCAAAATGCTATTTATGGATAACCAAAACAATTCGATAGGGGGGAAATAGACGAAATCATAGACAGAAAAGCAATCAAAAGGGGTTGAAGTGCTTATATAAAAAAAACTACACACTTTTGTTTACAAGATAGTGTAGAGAATCTTAGGGGTACTCCCTAGGAAAGTAAAAAAAAAAAACAATTCAACCTTAAGCCCCCTAATCCGCAGAACATTAGACATAAGCTCTCAACGTCGGACCGAAAGAAATGCCATATGCCTGAATTATAATTCAATTTATGGCCCTTAAAACTACTTCCAAAATAAAATCCTTTATCAGCCGACCACTTCGATATGCAAGACCTGACCTGAGCATTGCATTATACATATATCCTCCTCCCGACCAAGACCCTCGTCAAAAGTCTGATAGATTCCAGTCGTCCAGACTGGCCACCGGAAGCTCCTAAACCCAACCTCCTTCATTAGCATACAAATGTGTCAGAACAAATAACCGAAAGGAACCGAAAAGAAATTCAAATACTGGTCTGGAACTGGAGTGGGCAGCGTGATTTCTTGACTAATTTTTATGACACTTTTCATTTTATGAGGTGGCCTCGGCTAATTCCAAAGGCCTCTTTTTTTCTACTTTTTTTATTGAACATCAGGGGAGGGGGGTAGTACATATAAACCATATATGTAGGCATGTAGTACCCCCGGAGCAGTAAAGATTTTTATCGCTCGAGGATGTGTCATAAAATTTCTTTAGAGAAAGAGCTCTCGAGACTATTAAAAACAATAAATGTCAAAACGGAACGGATTTTCTAGTATACCTGGGAAACCTTTAGGGAAAACTGGCCAGGGCCTAAAAGGGGAAGAATTATGGGCCATACTCTAGCTTATATGGATATGGGGTTGATAAATAATCCACTCTACGACTCTGTGTTTGTTAAACAAATAACAGGAAATAAAATTTAAAAAAATAAGGACTAGGATCTAGAACCTAGAAGAATATTATCCTCAAAGCTAAAAGTATACCAACTTTATTAAAGCCATGTTTATGGTATTTATTTAAGCCATATAGATATATTATATGGATAATTCCTCATTTAATATAGCCTCCAAATATAAATTCTTTCTCTAGTTTTATGGCCTAACTATGTCCTTGTGTCCTTCTACCAGGACATTAGACAGTCAAATCACGTAAATTATGACCAGAGCCACTATAATGTCTTATCGCCGAGACATGATTTCAAATGATAGACTCTGCAGAGCGGTACGAGGATGCCTCTAGGAAAATTTTAGTAGGCGCGACAACTTTTCTTTCCTCCGACTTGAGGGAGGGATGGGAGGTTGGAGGATGGTTGGTCTGCAATTGGCAACTGGCGCAACGCATAAATTGAGAATTTTTTATCTAATCCGCGGCATCTGAGAGACGCGTACATTAGCTGGCACCAGTCTGTCCAGTGCCTGGTCCTGTGTCCAGTGTCTTGGACTCTGGTCTCTGGTCTGGGGGACTGACTGGCCAAAAAGGCAGCCACTACGACAATCGACAGGCAATAAATCACCCAAAGTTGCCACAGAAATTTATGTGCTGCAGATTAGGATCGCAGAAAGCGTCATTAGAATAAATTTTCCATTGGAAAATGGCAGTTTGGAAAAGTCGAGGAATTTAGCTTAAAGTGGGGTAATTATAATTATGAGATTGGAAAATAGACTAGAGACTAGATATAAAAGTCCTTATTTCCAAAAACTCTTGAAAATTTTCAAAAAACTCACCTTTAACGTTTTCTTCTTCTTATCAGACTGCTGACGATGCTGCTCTCTATCTCTTCCTCTCTCTGTCTCTTGTGATTCACTTTCCTTATCTCCAAGGACATTAATGATTAAATCCAACGTCGTCTGCTCTCCTTTATCGTCCTGCTTTTTGTTGTTTTAACGCCGCCATCGTTTTTGTTTTTCGTTAATGTTGTTGTTGTTGTTGGATGCGTGTGCCGTTATGGCGGTATAATCCAATAATCCAACACGAATGAGCGTGTGCAGTAGAAATTGCAAAAAATAGAGACACACACACACACACTGAAACACGCACGCCGACAGCCGTTGTCCTGTCCTATTCGTGTGATTGTGTGGGTGGTAAGGTGGATGGGTGGCTGGGTGACTGGGTGGGTGGGGGTATTGGTACCGCTTGTTTAGTAAATTAAACTTTTCACTTTTTGCAATGGAAAACGAAAATGGGCAATTTTCTTTTTCTTTTTTTTTACCTATTCTGTTTTCCTGCTTTCTTTATTTTCTTCTATTTTTTTTCTTCTGTTTTCCAATCACAATCACAGAACGGCTAGTAACAACAACAACAACAACACATTCACTCAAACTAGCATAAACAAAGGCAACTGCACGATGCCCGTAGCCGATGCCGATGCCGATGCCGCCTCCATCAAGTATAACCCCCAACAACAACAATAGCAATAGCAACTACAACAACAAGAGGAACCAGACCAGCGCCGCTGTAGTACACAAAAAAAATTCCTTTTTTTTTCACTGGTGCGGCGGCGTCTCCTTATTTTTACGTGTATTTGTATACGGTATGTGTATTTTTTGTTGTAAACGCTCTCCTTGCTTTTCCGCTCATGTATATTTCCACGATTCTATTTTTCTTTTATTTTTTTTATTAATGACTTTTGCACCTTGCTGCCTTCTTGGCCGCCGCCGCCGCCGCCGTTTTGCACTTTAATTTTCAAATACCTCCCGCCCGCACTCACCGTTCGAGAAGCTCCGATTTTGGAAGGCTCACAAACACACAAAGACGCGATCTCGTCAATTGGTCGCACTGTTTACGGCGCGCATTTGTTTTCCGATTTTTCCCGATTATTTTCCCCAAAAAACACAAAAACGACGCTAAAAACACAAAATATTTTGTATAACTTCCCGACTCTATTCGATTTCCGACTCGCAGACGTCCGCGTTTTCCGTACGACGGCTCCAAATTTCGAAAAGAGAGTGAACAAAAGGAAGAGAGTTAAGACAACAACACTGAGAGAGAGTTAACAGAATGAGAAAAATACTATAATATGGTATTTTCCCACACTAATTGAGCGAGAAATACTGCTAAACATAGCGTCAAAAGAGCGAAAAGAGACCAAAGAGAGGAAATCAGTGTGACCGCAGCAAAAAATACCGTATTTTTCGCTGTTGATGAAAGGTAATACTTAAAGACGGCGGAAAAATAACATTTTCACACTGTCTTTTGATAATAGCACGCTTTTACTATAATTTCTTAATGAAATTTGAAGATAATTAACTAAAAATCATAAGATTGTGGTATAAAAATATGAATTACAAAAATTTTAATAAAAATCTGTATACAAAAATCTTGCAGTTGAAAACTGTAGCTATTTTTTTTAATAATTTAAGCTTTATTAAACAAATATTTTATTTACCTTTCCAGCAAATTTTAAAGTATTTTCCCACAAAAGTTTAGTTCAAAATATGAAACAAAAATATGACTCCCTAAATTTAACTAGGACCTCTTTAAACAAGATATTCTTGTGCAAAATTCAATTAATCTGGGGCGCCTATTCAAAACATGTTTTTTTCAAGTAAGGAATGTAAAAAAATATTTAAAATATATAATTATAGCTGTTTAATAAACAAACAGTTTTTTTAAATTAATATTATGTTGAAAATCTTTAAAGTATGCAACAAAATTGCTTTTAAAACACAAAAATGTTGTTTACTTGACCAAGTAACTTATTTTTTGAGAAGGGGGAATTCCTTGAATGGTTTTTGATTCATGATATTTATACTTATTCATAATTATACATATATTTTAATATATCTTTAAAAATACCTATCGAAATGCATTATTTTTTCTAAAAAAAAAAAAAGTACCAAAATGTTACATTAGTTTCACTTTCATTTGTTATCATCTAACTCGGTGGAAATCCATGCACTCTCTTGGGTTTGATGTGCCATTTGTAATCAAAATATTTCTTTATTACTATATTCCCCGCTCACCCGATAAGATAACGCACATAGGGGAAAAAAAGAGTGAAATAGTTGAGCAAATCAACGCTTTTTTTATGGAAAAAATATTAGTTGCGCAGGGCTTTCAAAGCCGAACGGTTGTTGGCTCCCCCTCCCAAAAGTTAAAAAAACAATAAGCGATCGGAAAAAATTGCAACAATTTAAGTTAAAAAATAATACAACGATGACGTCACTTAGAGGCCATGTGCTTTGTTTAGTAACTGTCATTGCCCTTTTAACATTTTGGCTTCCCGAACCGGAAGCAGCTTCCATCGGTTAGTTTGTGACAGACTTAGTGACAGGTTCTACCGTTATATAACTCGATAACTTTCTCTCTTTCCGGAAGATGAGCAATGCATGCACGCGGAGAGCTGTGAGAGATGCCTGGAGGCGCACCTCGACTGCGCCTGGTGCACTGATAAGGTGGAGTAGCTGGAAAGTTTCTGGAAGTTCTGAAATTAATTATATTTTTTAATACCAGATGTACGAGGTGGGGCGCTACCGATGTCTGACACGCTCCCAATTGCTAAATTCCAATTGTAGCGAAACGGAAATATATGAAAATCAGCCGGTAGTGGATGTTCTGCAAGATAAGCCCCTAAAGGATTACGAAGCTAACGACGATCAGGCGGTACAGGTGACACCACAACGCGCTTACCTTAAGCTAGTCAAAGGTGTGCGTCCCTATTTATTTATAATTTTTATTATTTTTTTTTTGTTATCTTATCAAAAGTGTGTCACTCACGGTCTACCTTCATTCGTGTGTTTGCTTTGCTGATTTGTTCCACATCATTTACCAACATTTTGTTTTGTGTTCCTGCTTCGTCTATCAGGGTGTTGTGGTTGTCACATCTTCATATCATTGTTATTGTTTTCGGCGTGGGAATACCCCTAAATCACCCACTCTTTTTTCCAAAGAGTTCACTGAACCTCTTTGATAAGAAAATTCCTAGGATTAAAATAATAATAGTTTTAATCATAATACTACGTATGATACCTTGGAAATAGGACCTGTCTTAAGTACATCTCAATTACATTTGAATGAAGCCGGCAATCCAGCCAATGGCTGGCAATAATTCTTTGGTTAAGGCAGCTTATTAGCCAATTTGATGGCCATTTAAAAACAGATCGTAACCAGCTTAAGAACTACTGAACAGCCAGTAATTAGGGTCGAACACTGGGGTAAAAAGCTGGTTAAATTGCATTCCAAAGGATTACAAGGAAAAAGAACACTTAGCCTGGGTGTGAACTACCTCAAGTGGTAAATGAAAGGTTGCTAAACACCGAATTACAAGGCACTGAAAAAAGTTCTTAAGAAATTAACAAATAAGCCAGTTAAATTTAGGAAATTCCTTACATATTCTTATTAATAAATCTTAGAGATATTGCTCCTTTAAAGGACTTCCGTATCCATAGATTATTTACCCAGTTTTTAAAGCTTTTTTTCTCACTGCATTACACAAAAGGGAGCGAAATCTAGAGCAGACTCGTTTCCTCGTTTATGCAGATGTGTCAGCCCATAAAACAGCTCGTAAACAAGGTCGATTTTGTCCAGTGCGGATAGTAAACCGATCTATAACTTTTATCCTTTTTTTTCCCCCATCGCCCTTAAAGGAAACACGCAACGCATCAAGCTGAGCTACCGACCGGCACGCAATCATCCACTCGATTTGTACGTGCTGATGGATCTCACCTGGACGATGCGGGACGACAAGGCGACTTTGGAACAGTTGGGCGCGGAACTCACCAAGACCCTCAAGAACTTGACCGCCAACTACAGGCTGGGATTTGGGTCGTTTGCGGACAAGCCAACCCTGCCCATGATTCTGCCGCAGCACAAGGAGAATCCCTGCATCAGTGAGAGAGCCAACTGCGAACCCACCTACGGATACCGCCACCAGATATCCCTAACCGAGGACATTGAGGAGTTTACCATGGCAGTGGCCGAAAGCAAGATCACGGGGAATCTGGATAATCTCGAAGGGGGGTCTGGATGCCCTGATGCAGGTGATTGTCTGCCAGCAGGAAATCGGTTGGAAGGAGCAGGCCAGAAAGGTGGTGATCCTGGTCACCGATGGCTTCATGCACATGGCCGGCGATGGGCTCTTGGCGGGTATAGTTCGGCGTAACGACAAAAAGTGTCATCTGAATAGTGCAGGTGAGTATACAGGATCCTTGGAGTACGACTATCCGTCGCTGGAGGAGATGTACAGAGAGCTACTCCGTCGCAAGACCAACGTGATATTCGCTGTTACGGAGGAAGTGCTGGGTACCTACAGGGAGTTGAGTGCCTTGATGCAGGAGATAAGTTATGTGGATACCCTGAGTGCTGATTCTTCGAATATTTTGGAATTGCTTAAGAAGAGGTACGATCTGACTTCTGTTAAATATTTTACCTTCCTAATCCTTCTAATATTTCTTATAGTTATGAGAACCTGATTAAACGAACTCAGTTTGCCGACAATAGTCCGGATTTCATAAAAATGGAGTACTATACCGACTGTGGTGGACAGTTTCCCAGCTTACGTAAAAGGAATTACTGCACCAATGTCAGTCTGGGGAAGGAAATAGACTTTTATGTGGATGTGACTCTCAAGGAGTATCCAGCCAATCAAGTTTATGTGAGTTAACCCAATGAAAGTCCTAAAGTATTCTATATAATCTTAAACCCTATAGACCCATAAAATTCGCATTGGCGAGGCCTCACTCAGTGAGTATATGGATTTGGATGTTGATCTTCAGCGACCATGTCCCTGCCGCGAAGAACCGGATCCGGAGAACGAGGAAGGACGTTTCAGATGCCAGAATCAGGGATACCTCTACTGCGGAATGTGCAACTGCGACGAGGGATGGACAGGCACCTATTGCACCTGCCCCACAGATGCCACCAACTTCACCACCAATGAAGGCCTGCTGAACCAGTGCCGGCAGCCCAAGTCGGATAACTCGCGATCTCCTCTGGTCTGCTCCAACCACGGAGACTGCGATTGTGGAAGCTGCCTCTGTGACTTGGGATACACTGGTGACTTCTGCGAGTGCCGGGAGTGCATCGATTGCGATCTGGAGCGCGCCGACTGCTACTGTGGCCAGTGTGTCTGCAAGTGGGGATGGTCCGGGACCAGATGCAACTGCAAAGAGGACACCGACGCTTGCTTGGGGCCCACTGGGGAGGTGTGCTCCCAGCGAGGAATCTGCGACTGCGGGGAGTGCATCTGTGAGGATCCCTATCTGGGAAAGTTCTGCGAAATCGATCCCGAAAAGGACAATAAGCTGTGTCAGTTCTACGAGCCGTGTGTCACCTGTTTGATTGAACAAAAGCAGGGCATGGGTGCCTGTGAGAACCTCAGCGAACTCTGCACCAGCTTTGATAGCCAGGAGAGGTTCACCTACTCATTCGTGTCCGAATTGGATCCCGAGCACACCCACTGCCTGGTCAGGTTGGTGAATAAGCACGGAATCCAGTGCGATAGCTTTTTCGAATATCAAGTCATCGACCATGCCAATTTCCTGACCATCCAAGCCGTAGATTGCGAACCTTTGGATTATGTAGCCTTGTTTGGGTTTATTTCGGGCTTCACTCTACTAATAGGGCTCCTCCTGATCTTCTTGGTCTGGTGGTGTATTCGGGCCAAGGATGCCAGGGAGTATGGTAGATTTCTGGAAGAGCAGAAGACGGTTGTGCGACAAGAAAATCCCATCTATCGAGATCCAGTGGGAAGATATAAGGTTCCAGAGTCTCTCAGCGATAATTTTGATAAGAATCCGTTTGCAAGTTGATTATAGATCTATTAAAAAAGTTTCTATAGGTTTATAAGATGTTATTTAAACAAGATCTGTACCAAAGAAAGGACTAATGAAGAACAAAATCTGACAAGTTTCATTATTTTGTATAATATATTTGAACATAATTTTGATTTTATACATAAAATTGGATGAATCGTTCATTAATTTGTATTTATAGTCTAAGCTATATATAACCTAAGAATTTGTTATAGCTAAAGAAGAGAGTATAGTTTTACAAGGTTTTTTTTCATTTAAGTAATATGTTTAACAATTCTTTTGAGCAAAAAGTTAGTTTTGATTTCATTTGTATATTAGTAGAAAATTATTGATTTAAGAGTTAATCGATGACTACTGGCAAAACGGAAATGCAAAATTGATCTTAAAATAAGGACTTATGTACGTGTAAGGAGGCATTACAAAAATACAATTCAATTAATTAAGGCTAAACGTTTTCCCCTTCATTCTATTTTAACTAAACGTAATATCACTAGATTTGTAGCTTAGATTTAGTAAATGGTTTCTCGCAGCGAAAAAATGCCAAAAACACGAAATTCAATTACACATGCTCGTAACTCCACGCTCATAAAATGCACACAACGTTTCACAAAACAACAAAAAAATTAGATGTGGATATATGTATAATAACAGAACTGGGCGTGGTGGAGTGGTGGAGTAGCGGGGGCGCGACCCTTCAAAGGACACGCTCCCCCAGCGACGGCGTCCGCTGGATCAGCATCGAGGGTGGCTTCGCCGGCAATGTCACGCTGCTCAGCTCAGCATCCAAGGCGGCAATGTCGGCGGACGTCGCCTTCGCGTTCGATGGCAAGGGGCTGACTATCGAGCTGGGCAGGCCTTGGGGGGAGGCGTCGGGCACCAGGCGCTTCAGCAGACCGCCCACACAGCCCCAGGGGAAGGTCCTGTAAACGAGAGAGAGAGAGAGCGATATAGAAGGTGAGCCCAGGTAAAGGTAAATATTTTGCATTATTAAAGAGAAACACATTAAAGCAAGACCATTAGGCATGGTAATGCGGTCCTGGGGAGTGCTATGATTTCAAGGGGAATTTTATACACTGGGAGCTAGTGGTTTTTGAGGGAAAATATAGTCGAATCTATCTAATAAAATATTAATCTATTTTAGACATATATGGTTATACATATAAAGGTTTTAAGCTATTCTCACTGAAATATATTTAAAGCTTTTATAGACAACTTCTATTACCTTTTATTTAAAGTGTAAGTGAGTACATGAGTGAGCAGTTTTTTTTTAGGGTAGACTGTTATTTTATTTTTGAGGTAGTAGATAATTTTGCGGTCATGATTTTCAAAAGGATGATTTTCACTCATAAATACAAGGCCGAATGTGGCCAACATTAAAGTCTCTGAGAAAGCATATATTTTTAACTATTTCCCTTATTTATAGCCAGGCTATCAAAAAAATTAAAAACAAGTTCAAATTAAAATATATACATTCAAGTCGAGAATTTCCCACTGATGGCTGTCCATTAGGGAAGTACCTACAAGCCCCTTACAACCATTATGGCGCCTAATTAAGTGCCGCAAATTATCATTATTAAGTTGAAGCGAAAGGCCATTTGTTTGCTTACCACTTGAAGGAGAGAAGGACCTTCAGGAAGCCGGGAATGACGGCCAGTTTCTCGTTCTTCTTAATGGCCACAATGACACGATCGGCCACATCGTTGGGATTCAGCGTGGGGACCCATCTGCAATCATTTACCAAGTCAAAATGTCAGTGAGAAAGAGCCCTGGTTGCACTGGGCACTTACCTGGCATTCACATCGTCGAACATGCCAGTGGCCTGGATGAAGAACGGGCAGATGCAGGTGGTACGGATGTTCGTATGGCCAAGGACTTCCAGCTCCAGCCTCAAAGCCTCATCAAAGCCAACCTGTAATTATCGATAACTCAGTAGGGGAACGGGGCGAATTGAGGCACTCCGCTTACCGCTGCGAACTTGCTGGCACAGTAATCGACCAATTTGCTAATGCCCACATGGCCGGCCAGCGAGGCGATCGTGGCAATGTGTCCTCGATCATTCTCAATCATTTTTGGCAGGAACGCTTTTGTCGTCTGCAATATTTAAATAGTGGTATTTAGCTTCCACATTCTTGACAAAGTTGTTCTCTTTCTTACCCAAAAGTGTGCCATAACGTTAACATTGAAAGAGCGTTCGATTAAGTGGTCAGGTGTATCCAAAAGATGCAGACCAGAGACAACGCCCGCATTGTTGATCAACAAAGTAACCTAAGGGGTATTAAAAAGGGAATATTAAGTAAGAGGTTAATAATTTAAGAGGTATTCTTCATAAATGTTTCATAAACTTTTCTTAATTATGGTCTCTAAGATACAAGATATTTTAAAGTCGTGGCAATAAAATACTCAGATTATTTGTAATGGCCAGTCGTTGCCGTTGCCGAAAAATGTTGCCTAAAAAATTAACATATTGCGTAAGTTGTTGGTGTGCCACTAGCACCAAAAAAACTGCCAATATTCTTGACTTGTTTGTTTTTCTGGTAAAACGATTTTGAAGGCGTTGGCTGGTCCAAGACATTCCCAGACTTTGGTTAGCTCATAACTTGCTTGATTTATGACCCGACCGAGATAGCTCAAGATTTGGTCAAGCCTTTAAGGTAATAATTTTGAATAAATTACAAGAAGTAATCAAACATCTTTGGCCCTTAAGAATCATTTCTTTATTCAAGACCTCGAATCAAAACAAGGTCTCTAGTTTCTCTATAAGCTTAGCTTCTGAAAGATTTCTCTTGCTTGGTGAAGCCAGTTTCCAAATAAGTGAAATCCTTCAAATGGCAACCAACCCAAGTCGAGCATGTCAAGGTCTAAATGCGAATATAGCCAAGTTGCTCGCCGGCTGGTTAAATAAGTTAACAACAAGTGCACAGCAATGATCCTATTTGGGGGGCGAGTTCAAGTGCAATTGGTGTGTGGGGCAGGGGCAGGTCATACATTGCGTATGAGCGATTTCGAATTTGCCTGCTGTAACCGGGCAAAAACATTTAACGAGGCGTGCATTAAGACAACAAGACAAGAGTGTCAGCATCAGCAAAAACAAAAACTAAACTAAAAAAAAAAAAAAAAAACACAACAGCAGCCGGCAACAGACCATTAAAGCAAAACAACAACATTGCCAAGCCATTAAAAATATTAAATGTAATATTTCAGAGGGCCCGGGCAATAGTAAAGCCAAGAAAAAACAACAACAAGGTTCAAAACTAAAAAAGGGCTAAAAAAAAGCAACGCGTCATCTGCATAACGCATGACTTATTAAGCAGTTAAATGTTTCTTTTTTTTCTTAGTTTTTCTGCTACTGTTTTTTTGTCTTCATTTTTTCTCCCCATTTTTTTTTAGAGACTTTCAGGTTCAACGATGTGGCTGCTGTCATTATATAACTCTTTCAAAATGCTGCCTCTTGTGTTTAGTTAGTTCTTGTTGCTTTTTTATGCTTGAACTTCTGACATAATTTGTACTATTTTTTCGTCGCTTTTTAATCGAAATTATAGTTAAAGCAAGTAATTGTGGGTTTTTATTCAACTTTTTTATTTGATAGCTGACCTGGCCAAGCGTAAACAAATCTCTAATGAGGACATTAGATGCTTGTGGCAACCATTTTGAGGCCAATTACCTAAATTTCATTTAAATAAAATTGAAAGTTTTAGAGACTGTTTCGCTCATTAACAGAGCCCCATTCTATAGTTCTAATTGAAAGAACAAAAGTATCACAAGGGAAGCCTAATAATTAGCTAACAAAACAATGCTATTTTATTGAAAAAAAAAATAAAAGCTTAACCAAGTGTCAGAAAATTTCTGGCATGAAAGATAATTAGCAGCTGAGCTGAAATTAATTTGAATGGGAAGTTAATGTGTGGCAGTTGCTGGTGCATTGTTGCAACAGTGTCAGTTGCAGGGGCTCGAAATTGCCCTGGATTTTGATAAATGACCAGATCGAATGCGAAGTGGCAACCAGTTTGCAGAAGACCGGATTCGACATGGCTTCTTCGCCTACCAGATTTTTTCCTCCTTTTTTTTTTTGATGTTTTTGTGTAATGTGCAACAATTTCTCAAGGTTGCCGCAACGATGACGATGCGCTCATGCATACAAATTTTTTTTCTTTCTTTTCTCCAACCCGGCTTCGCTTTAAATTTATGACATGAATATGCATAAATGTGTTACTACGGGGTGTGGCAGCAACAGCAACAGCCACGGCAACCAAAGTTGGATGGTGCCGGCTTACATGTTGTCCGTCGCTCTGGCAAAGAAGGGTTCTGTTCTGGCCAGCATAAAAGCCATTAAACGCCCCTCAACAAACAATTATATGACGACTAGTCTGATGCCACATTAGGCGGTCGACTGTAAACAGCAATTACTTGACTTTTATGCTTCAATTGCCGCACGCACTCCCCGCGTTTTTCCCTTTCCATATTGCCGGCATAGGAAAAACGAAATGTGTAATTTATTTTTGTTACCTAATTCAAGTAGGCCATGTTTTTCCGTATTTCTCCATCATTGCCATAATAGCAATCACACGTTGATAATATAATTCCACAAAGTCCCTGTACTTACATCTCCGACTTCTTCCCTGATGACATCGGCTGCCTTGTAGACCTCCTCCTTTTTGGAAATATCAACCACATAACCTTTGCAGTAGCCGCCTGCTTCCTTAACAATTTCAACTGTTTCCGCAATGCCTGAAAGGGTTTTTTTTTTAAACAAAATATAAACAAAATTTCTCTTGATTGTCACGTGATCTGGGAACTTACCCTTTTTGTTGATGTCCCAGATAATGACCTTGGTGCCCATCTTTCCCAGCCTTTCGGCCAACTGGCGACCCAGTCCATTGCCTCCACCTGTGATCAGAGCAATGTCTGAGTTGAGCTCCTTTTCGGGATAGCCAAAGGCAATGTAGTACAGATCCTGGAAGTGAGAGAATTAATTATGGTGAGTAATTACGTAAAGTTTGTAATTATTCTAGGAAAGAGTTAATTAAATATCAATTTGGAAATAGTTCAGGGTAGTATTTTGGTACTTTCCACTACAAAGATAGATGGCTAGGCCCTTCAAAAAATCCCCGAATTTTTAATAAATTATTCCCATAAGTTCTTTAAACGATTTTATGTAAATCCATTTCTTTCTCTTAATTTTATGCAAAAAAATTCGTTGTCATAGTCTTTTGTTTTCGCTACGATCGTTTCCTATATGCAAACTAAAACCGAACCAAGTCACGCTTCCGAAAATAGAGACACATCTAAAGTTTACCCAAGACACAAAAGGAAACCCAAACAAAGTGTAAAATTGTAAACAACATTTGTTCGCTTTAGCCACTTGGCAGCTGCGTGTTAATAGACCGCAATTTGCCGCCTTGAAAACCCATTGAGGGCGTTAGTAGACGACTATCTGGGTAGTGCACTTCAATTAATTGATACTTGGATATTTTTTAAATTTGCATTTATTTTTCCATGTTTCATTTTTTGTGCCAGTTTAATGTCAATAAGCTGTCAAAATTTATGACTATCACGCCTCCCTGGAGGCCATTAAAAATGCGCGCTCCCATTGCCAAAGAAAAGAAGGGAAAAAAAGAGAAAAGTGAGAAAACAAAAGACTCTGGCGGCGAACTTAATATTTAACATGTTGCACAGTAGCACTTTCTGTTGCACGCGGGGGCATCCCATAAATTTTCATGCCGCACGCGAACTTGCTGCCAGCAAATATGCCCCATCCGCTTAGGGCACCTGGCCAGTGGTAGTGGCAGTGGCAGTGGCAGGGGCAGGGTTATTTGCACCTGAGAGTGGACACCGGGTCTGGGTGCTGGGTTTGGGTCTCTGGGAGCTGAGTCCGGCAAGCGTGTCCAATTATTTTGACATTAACAATGAATGTGTCGCAACTTTGTGCTGTTTTATACACTGCCAGGGTGTGGACTCAACTACATTGTTATTAGGAAGCAATTCATTTAATTATTCAAAATAATAGACATTAATGAAAGCTTTCATAGGTCTTTGAAGACAGATCCTTAAAATCTCTTGTATATTTTCGAAGCAAAGTATCTCAAAGTATACCAGATTCGGTGTGAAATTCCTATCCTCCCTTTTCGCAAAGACTTTTCTTCTGCCCTTTCCCTTTGAAAAAAAGTGTATAATAAATTATAAAAAAATTAATCAAAGGAAACTTGTGACAGGTATGTTGGGGAGCTCGTTGTGGCTGGCAACAATGATGATGAGTGGCTTTCGGGTTGCCTCAGCTGGCCCTTTATTTTCATGTTACGGCTGCCGGCTCGTTGACAGACATTTTGTCACATAATTTAACATGCAATGCGCATTTTTCTCAGCTCATCACAAGCAGCAAGGACAGGAAGCATGCAATTATAATTCATGCATAATATGATAATAAACATAATGAGAGCAGTGATTTCTTTTCCAGTTTAAATGTGACATCAAAAAGCAAGAAAAAGATATGCAAATTAATGTTGAATTGAAAGTAAGATTGAATGATTTTGACAGATCAGATCACGGAAACTTTTCGAGACTATTGTTTGCTCAAATGTAAATTTTGCAGACACGTTTCGATTTTAGCCATCTCATCCAAGAATTTGTGTGTCTGACTCTATTTTTGTTTCCCTCCAGCCTCCAGACAGACACAAATCTGGTATGTCGGCAAAGAAACCTGCCTAGTCAGCATCAAGTTCATTCAGCTGGGCTTTCTGGTCCCCCGGCGTTTGTCGTTTGTTTATGGGGCTTTTTTTTTTATCGGTTTTCTAGCCTTTTTGGTGATTGTCAAGGTCCGACGCATTGACCTTTGTAAGATACGGAAAATCATTAAATCGGATTGATCTTGGGATGCACTGATTTTGATTTGATTGACTTGTGGTCGAGGCGTGGAAACGTTACGGAGGTCTTTGCCATTTGAGAATGATTAATAGGAAATGGTATTTTGAATAAGATATTCGACCATGATGGAGAATTTGTTATGCATGAAATTCAAAATTTACAAAATTACAAATTTACAAGAGTGGAAAATTACATCAATGGCATTTGAAATTTACATGTTAATTAAGAGTTCAGCGTTTTCATACTTTTGATTTTGAAATTTTCCATTCTTTTCTCACACATTTTGTTTGAAATAAAGTGCAATATTTCCCAGCTAACATTATTAGTGGTAACACAAAAAAGTACTACCTGTTTAGCTCATTAGAGTTGTTTAAACGTTAATTAGCATGGATCTTCAGTCGACCCCAACAGTTAGATGGAATTCTCTCGCGTCGTTGGGATTGCAAAAATCTTGCATAATTTATGCAAGCCAAATGCCAAATGGCTGATCACGGGGATAACATACTCCGCGCTCTCAGACTTCTAAGGCGTGAAGCCGGCTGGGTTATTTCCATTCCCATTCCCACTACCATCATCATCATCATTATTGGCAGTAGTAATCAAATGTTTGCACTCGGCTTCTTTTTTTTCATGTTTAGCCATCGAGAAGACAAAAGCAAATGGACAAACTCGTTTCTTGCTCTCCCGATCTCGATGCTTCCAGTTCCAAGAGAATTGCGAAAATATCAACAACCTGAAGTAGCCGCCGCCGCTGCCGTCGCCTGGTTAACATAGTTAACGTGGTTCTAAAGCTAGCCGAAAGTGAAACCGAATACCAGCCACTCAGGCTCAGGCTCTTGCCCAACCCCAAATCCAAGCTAGCTATCGCATACACTGGCACCTGGCCGGCTGCCCGACTGCTTAGCTGCCAAATTGGCTCCAATTTGGGCCACTTTATGAGTGGAGTGGAAAACAGAGAGGCGCACACACTTGCACTCTGAGTGGAGGCTCTTGAGTGAGCGCACAAAACAAAAGACTTAAGGCACGAACTTGCCACAAAACATTGTAAACGCCGCTGTTGCAATGCTTCCAATGCACAAACACTTGGCAGACGTCCGTGCCGCCTCTCATGCCCCCTGTTCCTCGCCGAGTGACCTTCTTTGCTGGATCGCTTTGAAACTAGACACAGACACCGATAGTTGCAAAAACCAAAGCCTCACAATTATTTTGTTGCTTTTCAAACACACTTGTAAGTTAATACAAATATAATATTATTTATATTTTCAAAAGGTTGTTAATATACAATGTTTATAAGAGGGTTTAAGGCTTGATTGAATAAAGCTGTTGCTTTGGAGTTACAAATTAGTAAGCCCTATAGACAAAGAATAGCACCCCTTGATAGTGTAAATATTAATAATAAACCTGAAATTGAACCCCACAGACAACAAATGCAGCAACCACTCGAGTGCAGCGTGGTGCATTGCATTTGAAATAAGGAGGAGGGAAGTACCCCTCCGGCATACACTTGAAAGTTTTCAGCTACCTGGCCAATTGGCCAATGATTTTGCACTTTAAGTTTTGTGTTTGCTTGTCTCGGGCATTTTTATTGCAAGCGGGTGGTCGCTGTCATCGACTGCCGGTATACGGCCTTCAATGGCAATTTTCATATATATTGCCTTTTTGCGAAAAATTAACATCACAATATAGATTTCTAGCGGTGTATTTGCTTTTCACATGAATGGTGACACGCGCTCATAAATCGAACAATCGAGTTCTATCCAATCGCGAACGGCAGCAACAATCTAGAGTGACTCGAGTGGTAATTTGTCAGCCGGAGCGGATATTTGCAAAGGTGCTCAGATTCCACGGCAGCGGATATGGCTAGTGATTAGCATGGAGTATATAGGATTGGTTCTTGAGAAATCAAAAGACTTTATTAATAGTTCTGTGTCAAAAGAGTACTGCTTGAATATCTTGGCAATTATAAATCTATTAAATGAATCCTTCATTTCAGTGCTTTGTACTTGGATGTCTACATTGTGCCAGACCGACCGGACAGTTATTGTACTTTTTTGTTAGATATTATATGGCCATTGACGGGACACACCCGCCCCGTAACCCATTTTTCACTGGCTCACACACAAAACCATTCGGGCAGCCGTAAATCAGTCGAAAGCACAAGGCCGCATGCGGGTTATGAACCTGCAACCGGCTCCGACTCTGGCTCTAGCCAACTTTAAGCTAACAATTTACAATTTACGCGGAGGAGGCGGGCCTGAGATATGCTATGGTAACCCATCCAGTAGTGAGATATTGTATTTAGCTATTTGCCTTTCGGGGGGTCTCAAACACTTTCAATTTCAATTGCGTTTGGGGTTTGCAACGCACACACACTAACATAAATGAATGCCCGCGAAATTGCGGTTGGTTGTTGTGAGTGTGGGTCTTGCGGCTAGCGCAAGCAGGGCTAATAAAAACAGGCTCTCCAAGTGGCCAGCACCGCCACAAAGCCGGCAAAATGCAAAAGTTGAACTAGGTCAACAAGCCAAACGCAGCAGCGCAGTTGACAGAGCAGCAGCTGCGGTGGCAGCAGCAGGCACGACACCAGCAGGCAATAACTCTGGTTGACTTGGCTCATTACATGCCTCCCCCGGACACTTGGAAAAATATATATTAATTAAGAAATAATTTTAGAACTTTTAAAAATTCTTTATGTCTTTAAAACATCACTTAAAATAAAAATTTAATATATTTTAAAACATAAATAAATAAATAATATTTTTTTAAGTGCCTTAACGCCTAGTTGGTTCTCCGCCCATAATTTTCAACATGTAGGTGGAACTTTCAACGCAAGTTTGTTGCCTAAGTCTTTTGTTGCTGATAGCTGCTGTGAACGCATTGACATAAATCCGTCTAATCATACCTTATTGGTCCGATTCATCCGAATTACCCGCTTGTTGATTCAATCAAAACCATCAATTTAGTCAGGCCCGATCGACAAAGAGTCAGTGAGCTTGCGAGGCCTTAGAATCATGGAGGCTTGCGATTTTGTTGCACATTTACATGCAAATTCCGTTGGCTTTCTGAGTCGCTTGTTGTGCATTTGGCATGCAAATGTCAACAGTTTTTCGCCCGCCGTTTTGCCGTCTTTATTTTTATGGCAAAATGGCCCTCTCCCCGTGCACTATTCGTGCATAATGATGCCACACAACCGCAGCCGGCGCGAATAGAGATGTATACCGAGTCTATATGTAAATGCCACAATCATGCCACACATTTCACGATCATATCTCACTAGCCCTATCTGCCTCGCAGCGACTACAAAAAAGGTTTTTGCGGTAAAGTGAAAATATAATTACCACAAACCGAGACTTATGCAATGAAATTGAAATTTTTTATTGTCTTTTATTTTTGGTTATTTAAAAACCACTTAGCGTGTCAGTTTGAACTCGATATGGGTCTAATTTTTAAAATTCCCCCAAATAGGCGCAACCTTTTTGAGTGGGAGCCTACTGGCCAATAACTGAGTGACTTTATTGGCCTGTAAGCTCCCAATGACTTTATAATTTATTTAAATTCTTAGTTGTTTGATTTTTGCTTTGTCATTCAAGCGTATAATTGCAATTAATCGAGTTGACTAATTGACTGATGTCAAGCTGTGCTAGGCGGTTATTTTTATTAGCTTTTGTTAGTTTTTTGCCATTTGATTTTAAAGTTTATAATTAAAGGCAAGTTCATTGAGAATTTATGACCAGTCGATATTGTTATAGAGGTTTCTAGTTTCTAGCCAACAGGATCTGAATAGAAGATGAAATCAATAATGCATTTTATGACCCTGATATAAATATTAATTAAGTGAAAATATCCAGTACAACAACTTCATTTGCAGTCTCCAATGATCCCCTGCCTCTGCCAGATTGCATCTCAAAAAGGTAAATTCGTAAATCAAAATAAATTATCTCGCCGAGTGAGTTCACATCGTTCACAGGCTGGTTTACATCATCGTGGGGCAGTCAGTCAGCCCCTAAAGTAACCCGGTTCCTCCCTCAAGCCCACCGAGATACCATCTGAACGAGTTGTCTTCGCGAAATCTTAATGCCTTAAATCTCTTTCATGGCCCCAATTAAACGCCACACGTGCTGCCATTGGCAATGCCCATTACTTTTGGCCATATATCTCCTGGCCCAAGTGCGGACATCCTTTTGGCAGCTAATTAAATAAGTTAATCGCAGTCGTTCGTTATTTTTGCACGCCACGCGATTACCAAACCGAAACTTGAAATTCTCGCCGCGATTCTCACCGATCAACATTGACACATTTTTTCGTCGCGAGTCGAAGGTAAATGGCGTTAACTAAGTCACACAATGTTGCTAATCAACCAAAGTCAAAGCGAAGGTGAATTATTCTTTCGGCCAAAGGAAGCCAACATCCATTTAACAAATTTTATTAATCTGTTGTAAACAAAAGTGAGAAGGTCTTTCGGCCCGAGGGGCAATTAAAAGATACACAAAAGTCATTGATATACTATTCGCTTTAAAAATTAGAAACTTTTTATGGATGTATTTTTATTTGCTTGATGATTGTTTGATTTTAGAAGATAAAATAAAGTGTAACCTTAAAGGGTCAAATAAAAGATAACCTTAAACCTCAATTAAAGGATAACCCTTAATCCTAAAAAAACTAACCTGAAGGATATATCCAATGCAGCAAATGATGAACCAGGCCACATCCGCAAAGGCATCCCAGCTATTCAGAAGGCTCTCAAGCCACCCAGTGGCCTGGGGAGGAGCACTCTTCACCTGGGCAGAATGCACCGACCCATTGCCATTGGCCAGGCCATGTCCGTTGGCCAACATTTGCTGATCGTCGGCGTGCAGGTTGTTGTTGTTCTTCTCCATTTTCTCACACTGGCCTGACACTTGACTTTTGTATCAGATTATTTCCGCTTCGATTTTTATAGTTATGTAGATCACACTTTTCCAAGACACTTTTTTTTATAATTTTGCTAGCGAAACGAATGAAAAATTTTAAATGCTATTTGTTTTGGTAATTTTCGTAATTATTTCAGTTTATTTAAAATGCAAACGAAACACAACCAACCGCAAGCCAGAGCTTATATTGTTTGGCTTAATTTTGAATGTGCGTTTTTGGAGTTTTTTTTTTTTTTTGTTTTTATAATTTGTTATTGTGTTATTTGGGCTTTATTTTTTAGGTTGGGGACTCGACTGATTTTTCCGCACTGCACGTCCGCTCTCGTGAGCGAAGCAAACGATTTTGAACGTTGTGGGCTCGAAAGGAATGAATTTCGACTTCTTATTTTGGCGCGCTATTGGATATAGCCGACGCCAGCGTTGACGTTGACGCTGGCGGCATCGTCAACGTCGCTGCCGACCGCCGAAGCTTGAATTTGTGACGTCATCGAGCTTCAGTCGCAGCTTCGGCTTCGGTTTAATGTTGTTGGCTTTGTTTTTGTTTTTTTTTTGTTCGTTTCTCGTTCTTATATTCGCTTTGTTTTATTTTTATTTTAAGCCATTTATTGTTGCGCTTATGTTTCCCTCTAATTTTTTAAAATTAATTGAGATTTATGTTGCCTGCAGTTGGTGAAGTTTTTATTTTTTTCGTGAAGGACCACCTGAGACATGACTAATTGAATTTAAGTGGGCTTTGCGAAACATAAAAAATGTTATTACAACTTTATTACAACTTTGTTTTTGAATGATGCATTTCTTTATTGCATTTTTGTACTTGAATGATGCATTTCTTTATTAGGAGCTTTATTTAGAAGATATTTTTAGTTTAATGCTTTTGGATGATTAGTTTCTTAACGACTGTTTTTTATAAATATACAAAAATATTTAAATTTATTCATTATTTTCTTTAGCTGTTAATAAATTATAAAACATTAAATTGATAAGCTTATTAAAAATCCCAAGTGTTAATGTTTAAATCAATGTATTTAGTTTCACTTTCCCTTAAAATCTGATGCTGATATATTTTATTTTCGAATCTCAAGCGAGTCTCTGGCATATAAATAAGCTTTAATTCAATTTTTGGACAATTTTTATCCTCTCTTCTTATTGTCGACATCACAAAGCACTTTGTTGTCCTTTCTTCCTCCCTTTTCCTTCGTCTTTCTTTTACACTCTCTCACACACACACTACAAAGCTTTTATTTTGACGTCGAATTTCTTTCAAAAAAAAAGAAGAAAGAAATTCAAAAACAGGTTATGTTAATGCATTAAAATGATATTTTTCTGGCAATTCTTAACGATTTCGTCACATCTTCGTATTGCATAATAAGCAAATTTTATTTATTTGATTCGATATCGTTTGTTTTGTATACGTGCGTTTTTTAGATTTCGATTTGCATTTTTAACAAGAAGTTGTGACCAAGACTTCGGGTCAAAAAACTGCTAAAAATGTTTAAGGCCATTTGTGAACACAAAATTTTGAGAAATTAGCAACAAAAGTACTATTGTTTTTTAATATTTATTTTACTTTAAAAAAAAGTACTTTTTATTACTTATTTGTAACAGTAGTTGATGAGTTACCGTTTGTTTTTTTTTTGCACAAAAATTACAACATTTCTGAAGTTTATGTAGATTTTGAAGCCGGCATTTCTTAATTGATGTATAAACTTAATGGCGAAAATATGCAAATGGCTTTACTGGATTTTCAAGCATTCTTTTTGTGTCTGCCTGGTTTTATTTCGTTATTTATATTTTTCGCCTGCTTTTTGGCTCATTTTCGTTTCCCTTTGCGTGGCTTTTGACGTTTTTGGCGCCGGCGTAGTACGAAAATGAGAAAGCCCCCATCAAAAAAAGGGGGTGTTCCTGAGAGCTCAGCTGGATCCTTAAATTCCCAACAGCTGTCTTGCAGAGTGGCCATATATTTACAAAAAATTTAAATTTAATAATTCGAAAAATATGAGCTTAATATATAAATAAAAGAATATTTAGGCATAGGTTTTAGAAGAAGAAAAAAATAAAACACAATATAGAGCTTTGTTTTTATAAAAATTATAGAGTAAATTAATAATACTTTGATTTTTTTAATAAAAAGTTTATGAGTTTCACAATAATATAAAAAATCATTTTATATAAAATAAGCTATACCATTAAATACTACTTTTATTAAAGTAGTTTATTAAAAAACCTATAAAGATGTTAATGTCAGAATAAGTAATTAGCTTTCAAAGAACCAATCGCTATTATTTCTTGAAAATCTTGAAAATATCCCAAATGATTCATTTCCCTCAACAACATCAACATATTTGCCATCTTGCCAATTTCCGCAATAATTATTAGCCAAAATCCAATATATTCCATATGTTCTACGCAACCAAAATCGAGCAGGTTGGTGGCGCATGCTAAAAGTGGCTATTTCCTTTTTCGAGAATTTAACCTCGTGCCCTGTTGACCGAGCTCGCCAAAAATGTGCTGAACTTTGACCATATCCATACCCAAAATCTAAAAAAAACACGGAGACTGGCCAAGACTGGCTAAAAAAAGGCCAATAACAAAATACCCAGAGACTTAGACAATCGCAAATGAATCAACTGATAGCCTTCGCTAAACTTAAAACCCGTTAGAACCAGCATAATTGTTGGACGCTAAGCGCCAATTTGAACGTTAACCTATTTCACTTCCTCACATCAGAATTCTTGTTTTACCATCCGAACTTCCGGTTGAAAACGAACGTGTTTCATGCCATGTGTTTACCGATGACTTGGACATTATGTGGTCTTTCGATTTCCTAACAAATATCTGTTGGCTTTGTGCCGCATCGCGATTATGGCCCATTTGATTAGAACTGCCTAAGCACCGCAAGCTATTAATTATGATTTATTTGACAACACTAAGGAGTACGATAATTATTGCCCAAAAAAATAGAAATAAATATCTTCAAGGTCAAGACTTTTTTCTAAAGAGTCTGGGGAGTCTCATTTGCAATGTGTTAATTGGAAGTTGAATTGTATTTTTTGCGGATTTGAAACGCTTCTGCTACTACTGCTACTCTGGGAATTGCGTTGTGGAGTTCGAAAAGAATAAATTCGGTTTCTTTGGTCAATAATATATCTGGTTCTATTATTTGTGGAAAAAATTCACGCCTGCTTGCTGGTGGTTTGTTATGATTTTGGCTTTTAGCGAAATTCTCTAATGATCAGATCAGACAGCTATACTGATGAGTCATCTTTTGGAGTCTGAAAATTAAGATTCTCAGTCAGAAATCCTTATAAACTGAACAAACTTTAAAGAGACTTGACTCATCAAAAAAGTCGAAAAAGTTAACACCTGTCAGCCATAAGCCTGCTTCCGACTTCTTGGATTTCAAATCCCAAAGCTTAGTGGCATAAATGTTATAAAGCAACACTAAATCTTTTTTGTGAAGCCCATCTGGCATTGAATTTTGATTATATTGTTTCTGTCTTTGATATCAATTAACATAAATGCTCTAAAGCCCAAGATACCAATATTTGTCAAGCCCCTCCTGCCATGTAAAATATTTTGTAAGAAAACTATTTGATAATTATCAGAGGTTTGAATATTTCTTGATTAAATAAGTGATAGGTGTTGGCTGAATCGAAAAACTAAAAACCAGGGCAGCCAAAAATAGGTAATAATTTTACCAAAAATATATTTTTAAACCAAACCACGATAGCCTTAGACATAATAGACACCCTCGTCTTGCAATTCAAGTAGAAAATGTATTTTTAATTGAATTAGTAAGCAAATAATAAGTAAAAAGGCCAAACAACTGACACATTTGGCCCACACCGGATGGTCAAAAGTGGCTAAAGTTGGTCAGAAGGTCGGACGTCGGTGGAGTCGTTGATTTGATGAGTGGGACAGCCTCTAAACCAGCAGCTCAAGCCAGACTCCAGAGTGCTGAAAGATACAGATACAATGCCGGCAGTCAGTCAAGTGTCTGGCTGAAGTGTACACGTTCGAATTAAATGGCTTGTTATAAGTTTAGATAGTTTGGTTTTTATGGTTGGTCGTTATATCCGTGTGATTACCCACGAAAAACCCGTTTCTAAACGAAACAAAAGCTAGACAAGTTTACCCTTTCCCCGAAAATAGAACACTCTCGATTAAAGGCGATTCTATGTTTTATGTGGCTGTTTATCGCATTGATCATCGCAAGGTCTCTAATGTCAGGCTTGATTGCCATCTTTCTGTTTATTTTTTGGCGCTCGTTTGTTTGCTTGAATTTTTAGCACAACTCGGGGGAGTTATTTGACCAAGTCAAGGTCGTTTTATCAAATAAATGCCAGATTTAGCATCTATGCATTTCAAATTCTTAGAGCGTCATTGATTAGAGTAAACAAAATGGAGGTTTTGTTTTTAAAGATGGTTCTTGAGGTACTTATATACTACTTACAAATTGTTTTCTTAATTTAATAATAAAATGTTTGCTAATTTTATTAATGACTTATTACTTAATGTTTTTTTTAGCCATTCCTGTTCTTAATTTATGTATTTTATATCTACGTGACTACGTTTGTGAAGACAAACTAGTTGTCTAGACAATTTTTGTATAATTTCACATTGTGAAATTCACAAACCAGATTTTCTAGCTTTTGTGCAGCAGAATTTATGGCCAATTCTAATAATATCACAAGGCACCTTATTCGTATACATTTATGAAAGGTAGATAAATTTAGAATTCAACTGCCTTTATATTTAATAAATTAGTTATTCGATTTTTTACGCTTTAAGTGAGGCTTAAATTAGGCTATGGAGAATTGCAGTTAATGGCAAGAGCCATTCATTAGCCATGCAAAGGACTGCACTTGGCCAGCGCCAGCACTCGAGGAACATAAACAGCAATGACCCTTCTGAGTTTTCCCGCCATTTCACCCTTCCGGAATCCCTTTCGTTTTCGCCACCAAAGAGCAAACGTCAGTCCAACCAACTGTAAACGTAAACAATCCCCAATGCGCAGGACACAGTTCTCATTCCGTAACCGAATCGAAACCAAAATCCGGAACAGCTGTCCGTCGGAATCGGGTGGAAAGCTTCTTGCAGTCGGCGATGGGAAAAGCTTCAAGTGAGCAGTCAGTGGATTTCGGGCTATTTTGGTGAGCGGTTACGCGGTCCCTTCGAACGTGTCCCGGGTTACGTGTCAAGGGCCAAAAATCATTGGCCCAAGCCACTCAAACGCTGGGCCAATAAGCAGCCCAAAGCCTAATCAGTTAATGTGTGTGTGTGTGGAGTGTCTAACAGATATAAGAGATATCTAATAGAAAGTAAAGATCACTGATATAGCTTTTAGCTTGATGCTAAAAATGTCAGCCACTATCGGCAAAGTTCTGCAACAAAACGAGCCACAAATCGCATTTTGATTCTGGCCAATTGCCAGGAAAGTGGAAACCATCAAAAGCGTTAGCTGCCACAACCACAAAAGCTACGACAACAAAACCACCAACAAGAGCAATGTCGAGTGGCAGGTAGGACTCGTAGACATCGTGAATGCCAGTCATATTCATTTCGCATATAGCTCTGACCATATCTAGATAGTTGTTATGACTGATATTAGTCGTGTAATCAATAAATTGATTTTTGATTGCCATGTGTGTGGGTTTTCTCCTCATTGTCTGCCTTTATTTGTTGTCTTCTGTCTGCTTTCTGTTTGCTTTCTTTTTTTTGTTTTTGTTTTGGCTTATTCTAGCGGCGTCACACTGACTGGCAACGGGTTTCCTGCCATTTCGCCTTGGCCCATACAATTAGTGGCACACAGTGCGTATACATAATGGGTTGTACGAATTATAAAATAGTTCTGAAATAGTAAAGTTAGGTTTATAGTTCAAATACATGTTTTAGCTTTTAGATTATTATTATAACTTAAATTTTTCAACATACTTAAGTTTTAAAAAATACCCAATTACCAGAAACTTTAACCCCCGGAAATAATTACATTCTTTTTATATTCAGTGTACTTTTTTTGCCTCTTATGAAGCTTATAAATTTCGGAGAATTGTGCAAGTTTATTATATATTCTGTATTATGACCACATGTCAGGCATGTCTATCAAATAATTATCCACATTGGGGTCCCCCATAAATTAATCTACTCAAGAAACTTGTTCCAGGCCAAAAAGTTGGTGCTCTCTCTCGGAGTTACTTATTTGCCTTTTCATATGTTTGCTTTTGGCAAAAATATATATACACTTAGAGAATAATAAAATATAGGCTTAGAAAAATATAGGTTAAAATATTCTATTACCCTGATTACCGAAAGTGATAGCCAACATTTGACCTACCGACTGCATTAAAAGCCCGGGCGCTCAAGCAGCAGGAGCAGCTTGTCATGTAATTAGGATAATCGGGCTGCTTAAAATATGCAAAAAACCAACACACATACATAATTACAATCAACAGTTTATGGGTAAGAGGGGGAACAGAAGGAGCTCGGGTTTTAATGGCGTAACAGGATATCCCCGGGACACAGTCTGTCCATGAGTCATTCGAGAGCAAGCCAAGCCGCAGAAAGCAAACAGCTCGCAGTCTCCTTTGGCTTTCCTCTTTCTTCTTAAAACACTGGGAAAAAATTGTATGAGAAATGATTATAACACTTTTATAAAATGAGCTCTTAAATTTTAATAAAAATTATAGATAGACACTTGATAGAGTAAAAGGAACTAAAACCATATCATGTATCTTAATTATTGTCCAAAGTGCATTCTCTGGCACTGTCAGCTTGGCGCCAAAAATTACTTTCCTGGCACAGAATTTGCATTTCCTTTGTGTGGGTGTGGGGGTGTGTGCTTGTACACGTGGCTGTGGTTACAGCTGCGGTTGTATAGGTGTTTTTTTTTGTCGTTGTGTTGGTTTTCATGTCAGTCCAACCACAGAAGTCATGTCCCTGGAAAGGTGACAGAGTCGTCACGTCATTTCACCTGCATAATCATTGCATTCGGTTGTAAAATCTTTACATATTTTTGATTCTGCAGAAGTGCAAATAAATTGTTAATTTTTTAATTGAAAAATATGAGAGTAAAACCATGTTTGTAACTATAAACTGTATTTAATTTTAATACAACAATTTAAAGAATTCAGTTGTAATAAAACCCCTTTATCACGACACGTTTTAGCCCTTCAGAACAATTTTGAGCTTAACGAGCCATTAAATTGAAAGCAAATCATTTTTAATCATAGCTAAGTTTTAAATAAAAACCTCATTAAGAACCATTTCCGTTGAAATTGCAAACACACTCCGCACTTTGACCGCGCGAGTTTATTTCAACTAATGAACTTAAGTCGCAAAAAGACCAGGAAACGCGCTCTCTTTTAATTTACGCAATTTTGTATTCATTAGGGGAGGCTGCTGTAAAGCAATTTTATTTAATTAAGCGGATTTACTGTCCTTTTTGTCCTTTTAACAGTGTATATAGAATATCCCTTTTCAGTGTGCTGGACGTGCTTTGTAGTGGCAGTGGCGCCCGCCTGGCCCTCGGGACCTCGGTAATCGCCTATCTGATTGTCTACAATGAGGCATCCGCCCCGAGCCTCCTGTTCGCTGTCCTTTTGGCCACCATCTACGGCATCATGTCAGGTGAGGGTCAGGCTTGGCCAGGTGTTCTCGATTTGAATAAAGGATTATGTATATTTAATGGAAACCATATATTCCTGTTTCTTTTTTTGTGAATTAGCACGCTGCAAGACGAGTCTGCGCAGCCTGCAGATGCCATATGTGAGGGCCACTAATAAATTTGATTTTGGCTGCTTGTTTTTGGCCATCTGGCTGGATGCTTTGGCTGCCATGTGTGCTTGTGCCGCCTTTGCCAGGACCCTGAGTGCTTGTCTTGATGCCATGACGGGTGGTCTGGCCAGGATTCTTATACTGGGTAAGTATTAAGAAAATAAAATTTAAGAAAAAAGAGATAGTAGGATCTAGGATAAAAATCTCAAGGATTTGACTTAAACATTTTAAAGAAAAACTAATTTTATATTAATTCTAGCATAGGCAAACTAAGGTTGTAGAAAACCTAATTTAATTTAGTTTTATTTATTCATGTCTAAGCTAGCACGTTTGTTTTTTATGTTAATACGCCCACAGCACGTTCCCAATATTCTGGCACCCACTGTGCTGAGTGAAAATTTAATGTTGCCTACTTTCAGGACGCAATGCACCCACCAACGAGCCATGGCCCGATGTTCTTGGTGTTTCGGTTGTCTTCTTGGTCACCGGGATGTTCATGCTGGGACTGGAGGTGTGTGCGACTGACACTCAACTAAGACTCAGACTTGAACTCATACTCATACTCATTGCATTAATGTATTCACAGCACTCGAGGGCCTTCAGCCTCATCCTGACACTCGGCATGCTCGGCCTGAACGCCATTCTCAGTGCCGTGGGCTGGTGGCGGGGCAATTTGTTGGCCTGGTCTGCGGATAACTACTTCCAGCCTGATGGCATTAGCAGTGTAAGTCTCTCCCGCTGTCCTCTGACCTCTCTAGCCCCCGTACGACATTATTGGGTCAGTGCACTATGCCAGACTGGAGTAGGTTTCCCTATTCTTTGTTTTTTATTTGTTCTGAATCCAATCGATTTTTGGTGCCGTGACTGGGAACCATTGCGTGACCGCAGCTGAAGCCACAGGATACGGGCTTTTGATTATGACACGTACTGGCCCGCTTGGTTTTTTGGTTGCCCCCCTTTTTTATGACATTCCATAGTGGAAAGCCACCAGTCAGACAGCAAAAAGGTAAAAATGTCTGGGTTTCCCTTAGACCGAAGTTGGTAATACCTTGTACGAGTTTTTATTAATAAGAATTTGTTATAAAATATAGCTTTTATGGAAGCTATTCAAAAACTTACAAATTAATATCTTCCAAAGATAAAAAGCCTATTTTTTCATGACATTAGCCACTTTTGGGAAAATCCTTTTCATTTCCAATTAAACGTTCTATTTTAAGCCACCTGTTATTAGCTTCTATTACCGGGTATTAACTAGTATTAGCAATCATAATCCAGTTAATAACTGTTACCATTATCCTTCCACAGGTCTTCTTGGCCACCGCCCTGCTCACGTATTCGTTCCCCAGCGATTGGCCGCAACAGCATCGAAGTGGCCGCTTCATGGGCACCCTAATCACAGGATTAGTCAGCGTATCCTTGCTCCTGACAGCCATTTGTCTCTCCACAATTGTGCACTACAAGTGAGTGTAAATGAAAATGTGTGACAAACATGGAAGAGATAAATCAGGGATAATCCCCCTCAAATTTTAAATGGAATTTTAAATAGAGCTTTCAACATTGTGTGGGAGTTCTGTTTTCGTTATGGACCCGTGTCCTTAAAGCCATTTTCGGTTGTCCGTCTGACATATAAACAAAACAATGGTCATAATATTATATTTTTGGGAGTTTTAGTTTTAAGAGTGACTCTTTAAAGACATTACGACCTTCAAGGCTCATAAAAATGGTCATGTCTTTGTCAATTTAGTTACTTTTTTTAAAGATATTTTCTCTACCAATCTCTATCAATAAATCAAAGCAATAACTGAACTAAAATAACATATATTTTCCAGAGCCCATGAGGAGTATGTGGCCGTGCCTTTGTTCAACATCCTGGATGAAAGTGGCTTCCATAAATTGGTTCCTGCCTCGGCCTGCATGCTCCTTCTCAGCAGCTCTGCGGCCTTTTTGGAGCTCTTTCCCGAACTATATGGCATTGTAGTCCGCCTGGCCACCTCGGAATGGCGGATTCTGTCCAAGCAAATCAGTTACGAGAGCTCGGAGAGCGGCAATCCCGTTTTGGCCGTTTTCATTGCCGGCAGCATGTGTGCCATGCTGGCCTTTGCATGTCCGCTGCAACATCTGAGTTATACGTTGGCGGCCAGCCATATGGGTGGAGTTTTTCTGAGGGCCTTCTACTTGCTGTACACTCCATATAGGCCCAAATTCATGGCCCCCAGCAGCGAGTCTTCACTGTCGTACAGTCGCCTGTCCACGGCGCCGATAGCCAAGAGCACAAGTTGCAGTAGTGCCGCCACTTCCAGTTCCAGCCGGCTGAAACGTAGCCTCTGGAATATTGGTCTTCCAAAGCACAGTGGCTTAAAGAAACCCAAAACCAAGCCGAAGAACAAACAGGAACTGGAGAAGGAGTGGCTGCTCCTGGGTGAGCCCACCTCGCCGTGTCCGCAGCGAGAGGGCAGGGATGTGGAGTCCACCATTCTGTCGGACGGAGAGCCACCGGTGAGTGGGAATAAATCCAACCATGAGAGCTTAAAGCCTTATCACTTATTTTGTTTAATTTTTAGCCATCAGACTTTGAGTATCCTGACAAGTTTGATAAAAGCGATTCGGACACCTCTACGGATATTGATGCCATTGTAGATGAATACCGCGAAAAGATTAAGGTGAGAATCCATTTATAGCAATTTAAAATAAAAGAAAACCATTACTCTTTATTTATTTATTTAATTACACTTTCCAAACCAGGTCACAACCGCAGGACCCCTGGAGCGAAGTGTGCGAGTGCCGACCGGAAGTTCCTGGCACGTGACCATCTTTGCATTGGTGGTGATTGCCTTGGGCATTGCCCTCTGCGTGGCAGGACTAATGATGCACTGGGCTCCAGCTGCACTAACAGGAGGAATTGGAGTCCTAATTGTTACTATTATGATGGGCTTCATACCCAAGTACACGGGCAGTGTGATCAACGTCAGTCCCGTCATCTGTGGCATGTCCTTGCTGATGGGTGTCATCATGTTTACGGAAATTGCCGTACACTCGTGGCCAGGATTGGTCATCTGGCTGTTGGCTGGTCTGATCCTTGTGGTCAGGTGCGATAAGTATTGCTGCAATTGCTTTGAGCCCACAAGCATGATGAATGCCCATCTGATACCGAGTGTCTCCGGAAAAACAAACTCTGGAACTGGATGCGCCTCAGCAATGGCAGGATCATCGTCGAATTTGTCGACAGGACCCTCGACCAGCATTCGGATACCCAGACCGCCCAAGGGAGTGGGCGTGGTGAGCCTGCCGCAGCGTATCAACGGCCACAGATGACAGTCAGAGTCCTCGGAAGAGGAGGGCGAGGATCTCTTCCACGAGGACTTCAATGTTAGAGACTTTGATGAGGAGGACGACGAGGATTGCTGGACTGATTAGCTTCTTGCCTTTTGCCACCATTGGAGTTTCGAGATCCGTTTAGCCAGGATCTCTGGGATGATCTAGCTTCGAGCCACACGAATGCCTAAAAAACTATAGCTAGCTAGAAATTGTTTGTCAAAATTTATGTATTTTATGCAACTCTAGTTAGATGACTCTCTTTACAAATAGGTTCCAAATAAAAATTAAAATTCTAAAATGGATTTTGATTTTCTAGTTAATGATATAGCTTCTCATTCGCCATGAGATAATCTACCAGTTCTTTGATGGGCAACATGATAGTCTCCTCGTATCCAGGCTGCAGCTTCATAACCCTTATTAATAATTCACTTCGATCGGTGTTGAGGTAGAAATCAAACTTTTCAGGTTCTTCAGATCTCAATCGATTGGAAACCGCGGCCGACATTTTAGTCTGTGGTTCGGTTAGAGCCCAAATTATTAAAGCTGCCAGTCGAGTCCTTTGGCACTCCGCCAGAAAGTTCTCTCGGGTGATGGGTAATTTCTCTCCGAAACCTAAACGAATTAGATGCGATTTTAGGGAGTTATAATAGTGTTCCAGGCACTCGTCATATATCTCTTCTCGGACTTTTGCAGAGGCCACAATATAAAGCAAAAATAAAACATCTAAAGTCGGTGAGCAGTACTTTGCCAACTGAAAGTCCACAATACAACAGGCACTGGGTTGCGTTGAAGATTCGCTTGGAAATTGGTATAAAATATTACGATCCCAAGTATCCCTATGGCAGAAAACATTTCTGATGGTCTTTGAGGGCTTTACTAACTCTTCAGCTTTGGTTAAGAGGTTGTAGAGTTTATTGTTGATGAAATATTGTGCTTCTTTGGATTGTAATTGAGGGTGACGACTTGCCAAGAAAACTATGGCCTAAAAAAGAATATTTTTTCTAGAAACATAGGCTTAACTTCTTGTCTTAAACACTTACCTTTACTCCTGTCATATACCAACTATTTCCGGTACTCAAAAGCAACTCCACCAGCACATCCCTGTAGCGTTCATTTATATTAATCTTATCCTTTTCTTCCCAGGCTATACTACTGGCATGCATGTCAGCCAAGTGTTCCAAAACCACTTTGTAATGCTCCTTGGTATAATTATCCGAAGGCTTGAGGTGTCTATACTTTATGGTAAGATCTTCCAGAACTAGAATATCATTGCGGCTATAATAGCATTTGGGGAAAAGCTTCTTGGTGGCTATAAATTAATTTTAAAATCAATATATATATAATATGAGATAATAAAGAACTCACCATATTTCTGTATTTGTGGCAACAATTGGCTGTAAATTGCGGACTCTTTCCGAAAGACACCCTTTCGTTCACATTCTTCTCTTTGAGGCTGGTTGTTTCTTGGCAAACACTTAATGAAATATTCCAGATTATGTTTTTCATTTTCCACAACATCTTCAATTTCCAAATTAAGTTTATAATACTCTCCCATATAACCCATCAGGTCTTTGGAGCCGGCTTGCAGTTGAACATTCAAAAGAATCAAATTGGATTTATCCTTGTCCGGAAAGGTTTTGTGAGCTATAAGCAAACATTCCTCTGAAGTAAGAAGATCCATTCGTAAAAATATTCTAAAAGATGTTATCCACTTGACTTCTAAGATGGAAATGAAGCATCTCGCCACTAAATGGTTAAAAGATAACTTATATCTTTTTTTTCAGTTTGATTATCATTTTATAAGATTATAAAATAATAAAAAATGTTTGTGAAAACATTAAAATTCTTGTACAATAAAAAGTCTGTTACTTTCATATTTTTTAAATCCCCAACAAATCTAACATACTATACGATGTCCGATAAGATAATCCCCCAAGAGGTCGAATAACTAGCCAGCGTGTTACCAGGCGACCAGAGAGATAGTAAGGCTTTACCAAATTTTTTTTAATCAGTTTTGTTTATTATATGTCAGTTCCAGCAAATCCCCCACACACTCGTACATATAATCAGCAAATTCCGGATAATCTTTCATCAAACGGAGTACATCTTCTGTGCGATTCACATTGCAAAAGCGATGAAAATCCGCAGGACTCTTGTCCTTGAGGTGTTTTAGGTAGTTGTCTGGAAGTCGTAGTATAGTGGCTGCAATGCAATTGTAAGTTACACCGAAAAGTGAGAAATCCTCAAGGGATTGTATGAATTCTCCTTTGCTCAAGTTCTCTTTCTTCGGATCGATTCCCATCTGTTCGAGTTCCTCCGATAAGGTTTCATAATAAATATCAATTAAATCACTTAACATTATCTTCCGAGTTGAGGGCTCCAAGTTGAGATAACTGACTAGATGAAAGTCCATGGCAGGTGGGGAGTATCGGCACAGTTGGAAATCCACAAGAATGGATCGTTTATCCTTAGGCTGGTCCTTGTGATAGAAGACGTTGGCGCCCCAGGCATCGCGGTGCACAAAGACATTTCTATGAACTGGGGAGGGATTAACCATATAATACACCCTGTCCAGACAACGTGGTAGCTCCTTTGCTATGTATTCCAGAGCTTGGGGATTATCCCGCACCTTGGGATGTGTGGCAGCCACGGCTAACACAGCCTGTCATGTAAATAAGTGTTATAACTTGTCAAGTTTAATGTAAATTATTAACCAAACTTACATTCAATCCCGTGATGTACCACTCAATGTCTGGATCCACAGACATCTCTTTTAACCATTCCCTCAGTTCAACTCCGATGGTTTTCCCCTCCTGTTTTTCAAAAGCAATACTGCTGGCATGTAAAGTGGCAAGGGATTTCAATATTGGTTGCAATTGGTCTTTGTTGAGGAAAGTAGTCCCCGGTGGCAAGGCCACATAGCCCATATCTTCTACATTCTGCATTACGAAGAGATCATCGCGGGTGAAGTAGCACTTGGCGCACCAGACATGAGGGGCTGGAATTTCATCACAAATATAGTTTTTAAAGTAAAATCCATCATAAAACTTACAAAACTTCTTCAACTTATTCAGCAATTCATATAGCTTCATCTCCTTTTTGATAATGCCCATTTTTTCCATATAGAACTCCATGTTGGCATTTTGAAATATCACCGATTTGACAAACAATCGTGTGATTTGCTCATCTTTTTGACCCTCCAACTGATACCTGAGATGTAGGTGGAAGTATTCCCCCAAGAAACCCACATGCTCCAAAGCCGGTACTATTTCAAAGTTTGTCAAGACCCCACTTTGTTTCTTATCGGCCAATAAATTAGCCAAAATCTCTTTACACTCATCTAAGGTAAACAGTTCCAAGCGATTTTTACGCGTCAGTATGGGATTGTATTCCGCGGTACTCATTTTTTTGCGATTACGAATTTATTATCAGGTCTTAACCGCTCGGGATTTGAATCACAACTGTTTAAGTTGGCGAGGTGTTTAAAATGATATACCAAACAAAAGTACTCTTTAGTTTTAAAGGTATATAAGTTCAAACGTTGTAGTATAAATGTATTAATTTCTATAAATTACAAAAAAAGGTCAGTTTTCGTCGAAAGTTTAATCCCTTAAAATTGAAACCCTTAATTTATTTTTTTTAACTTATACCCTTTAAAAATAGAGTATTAACATATCGTTGATAGTCTTTTTTTATTTGTTTATATATTTACAATCTGTTCTTATCGACTCTAGAAGGCTACTCTCGCTTATCAGCTGTCCCAGCCACAATAAGATTCATTCACTTGGCTGCCCTGGCATCCCTCGTCAAGGCTATTTTCATGACATCCACACAGCACTCCTCCATGTAGATCCTAAACTCCTGATTGGTCCTCATGTAATTCAGGATAACTTCAGATCGATCCACGTACTTGAAATCATTAGTAACGAACTCGACTGGAACCTTGACAATTGTGGCTGCCACAGCTCGATAGACGGTGCCGAATAATCTGAAATCTTCATAGGATTCTAGAAGCTCTGCCTTGCTGATGAGTAGATTCTGTAGGCCTATGTCTACAAGATTATCTTGCAAATATCTGTAATACAAATCAATAAATTGTTTTTCCTTCAGTCTTCGATCCTTTGGAATTAGGTTTAGATAAAGACAGAAATTTAAATCCGCTGCTGGGGGAGTATATCGACAAGTTTGAAAGTCAATCAGTAGAGCTGGCTCGGTTTCATCAATTGGGAAGAAGATATTTCCCGACCAAAGATCCCGATGAGACAGGACATTCTTGTACTTTTTCGAAGGAGCCGCCTGCTCGTAAATTTCTTCCAATATACACTTTAGTTTGGTGTCTATAAACTCGAGGTCTTTGGCTCCTTGGTATTGGGGCAGGCTTCGTATAGTTGCCAGAACCGCTGAGAGCCCTGTGGTGAACCAGGCTATTTCCGAGGCTACAGTAATCTCCAGCAAATGATCGCCGTAGGCCTGGCCAATATTGGTCCCAGTTCGATGTTCGTAAACAAAACTGGCAGCATGAAAAGCTGCCATGGACTTTAATAACTGATTTATATGAATATCATTCAATTCGGTAGATCCAGACTGTTTGTAGCCTTTTAATGTGATATTCTCCAAGACCATGACATCAGAACGAGTGTAATAGCACTCCGGGCACCATTTGACACTGGCTGTGGGGGATTTTTTTTATAATACTTTTTAAAACCTCAAGGGCTACTTACAATATTTTCTCATATCAGCCAGAAGGGTTTCATAGAGCCAGGCTTCCTTCTGGAAAATAGCCTCCTTTTGCAATTCTGCACTCAGTAATGGAAGAGCTTTAATAAATAGCTGCACTTCTTGAACAGCTCCATCCTGAAAGTAGGCAAAACCATATATCAAAGTTTTCTTTGAATATTTACAATGTAAAATGTAAAGTTTTTCTTACTTTTTTAAATAGTTATTAAGTTTTAGTGAAAATATAAATAAATATTAGTTATTCAGTAATGTGTTTTACATAATATTCTGCCAAATAGATCAAATGTTTAAATAAATCTTCATTATAATAAATCAGCTGTCAATAAAAACGGAACATATTTCCATCTTATCTCTCTTAATTTAGAAAACACTCATAAAGACAGATGATTGATTAATTTTTGCTTAGAAATTAATTAGCTTATTGTAGGTAAAAGGGAAATCTATAGATTAAAATTACAAAATTGATTAGAAACCAATTAGATTGGAAATTTTTTCAAGCTGACAAGACAAAAGTTATTAAACTATTTCAAATATCAATCTATTATTATATATTTTACTTTCGACACCATGAATATAATGGAGCTTAGCCTTTCTTTAATATAGAAGCTTCAGTTATACAAACTTTGATAGTACTTATCCTTTATCACACTTTATGACTTTCCCCCCACTACTCTTATTTTATAGCATCCTACTTTGTACCCAATCTTTTCTAAAACAGCATTGCAATAAAGAAATTATAGTACTTACACTACAATACTTTATAGACAGATTGTAGTAATCGCCAAGATAACCAACCGCATTCAGATTTTTATCCATTTGGTAGTCCAAAATTTCAACATTTTCGCCTCTCTTGACATTTTTTAATATTTTGACAGCCTCGGAGTGATCTAGTTCCATATTGCGTATACGCAGCGTTAGCCGTATTACGTATACGTTCGATCTTTCTCGCGCTCTCGTTCTTCCGGCCCTCCACTCTTCGTTCTTCTCTCTTTCTAGACCGCAGACGGGACTGTCACAGATTTTCCGACACTTTCCACTCAGCCAACTATAGCTACGTGTGTTGGCCGATCGCAACTGAGCGAGATTATACATTTTTCTCACTTTTTATTTTGTTTCCATCCCAGCAAACAGCTGTAAGGGACTTACACACTTATCTTAGTGATAAGACCTAACTAAGGGCGTACCTTTTGATTGAAATCGAAACTATTTGTGACTTATGTAAGAAAATGAATAGCTCCTTTTGTTTTACTTTCTGTACGATGCTTTTCATTATCATTTGCATGCGACCTAATCCGATGCATCCAGATTTCCATACAGATTAATAGGGAATAATCCAAAAAATCTTAAAGAGTCTCCAGCTTTTGATGCAGATTAATGGAGAAACACTCCACAAATCGATTAAGGTACTCCGCTTAAGGATCAGATGGAAATTGGCAAAGATATGGCTTTCGCGGTGGGTGATATTGGGCTCCCATGCATTTTCAGCATTTTTGAAGGGGACCCATCAGAAAAATTGACAAAAAAGTGAAAAAATAATTTGTGTCCAGCTTTTGATGCAGATTAATGGAGAATCGAGCCACAAATCGATTAAGGTACTCCGCTTAAAGATCAGATGGAAATTGGCAAAGATATGGCTTTCGCGGTGGGTGATATTGGGCTCCCATGCATTTTCAGCATTTTTGAACGGGACCCATCAGAAAAATTGACAAAAAAGTGAAAAAATAATTTGTGTCCAGCTTTTGATGCAGATTAATAAAGAATCACTCCACAAATTGATTAAGGTACTCCGCTCAAGGATCAGATGGAAATTGGAAAAGATTTGGCTTTTGCGGTAAGTGATATTGGGCTCCCACGCATTTTCAGTATTTTTGAAGGGGACCCATCAGAAAAATTGACAAAAAAGTGAAAAAATAATTTGTATCCAGATTTTGATGCAGATTAATGGAGAATCGAGCCACAAATCGATTAAGGTACTCCGCTCAAGGATCAGATGGAAATTGGCAAAGATATGGCTTTCGCGGTGGGTGATATTGGGCTCCCATGCATTTTCAGCATTTTTGAACGGGACCCATCAGAAAAATTGACAAAAAAGTGAAAAAATAATTTGTGTCCAGCTTTTGATGCAGATTAATAAAGAATCACTCCACAAATTGATTAAGGTACTCCGCTCAAGGATCAGATGGAAATTGGAAAAGATTTGGCTTTTGCGGTAAGTGATATTGGGCTCCCACGCATTTTCAGTATTTTTGAAGGGGACCCATCAGAAAAATTGACAAAAAAGTGAAAAAATAATTTGTATCCAGATTTTGATGCAGATTAATGGAGAATCGAGCCACAAATCGATTAAGGTACTCCGCTCAAGGTGTTTAAAATGATATACCAAACAAAAGTACTCTTTAGTTTTAAAGGTATATAAGTTCAAACGTTGTAGTATAAATGTATTAATTTCTATAAATTACAAAAAAAGGTCAGTTTTCGTCGAAAGTTTAATCCCTTAAAATTGAAACCCTTAATTTATTTTTTTTAACTTATACCCTTTAAAAATAGAGTATTAACATATCGTTGATAGTCTTTTTTTATTTGTTTATATATTTACAATCTGTTCTTATCGACTCTAGAAGGCTACTCTCGCTTATCAGCTGTCCCAGCCACAATAAGATTCATTCACTTGGCTGCCCTGGCATCCCTCGTCAAGGCTATTTTCATGACATCCACACAGCACTCCTCCATGTAGATCCTAAACTCCTGATTGGTCCTCATGTAATTCAGGATAACTTCAGATCGATCCACGTACTTGAAATCATTAGTAACGAACTCGACTGGAACCTTGACAATTGTGGCTGCCACAGCTCGATAGACGGTGCCGAATAATCTGAAATCTTCATAGGATTCTAGAAGCTCTGCCTTGCTGATGAGTAGATTCTGTAGGCCTATGTCTACAAGATTATCTTGCAAATATCTGTAATACAAATCAATAAATTGTTTTTCCTTCAGTCTTCGATCCTTTGGAATTAGGTTTAGATAAAGACAGAAATTTAAATCCGCTGCTGGGGGAGTATATCGACAAGTTTGAAAGTCAATCAGTAGAGCTGGCTCGGTTTCATCAATTGGGAAGAAGATATTTCCCGACCAAAGATCCCGATGAGACAGGACATTCTTGTACTTTTTCGAAGGAGCCGCCTGCTCGTAAATTTCTTCCAATATACACTTTAGTTTGGTGTCTATAAACTCGAGGTCTTTGGCTCCTTGGTATTGGGGCAGGCTTCGTATAGTTGCCAGAACCGCTGAGAGCCCTGTGGTGAACCAGGCTATTTCCGAGGCTACAGTAATCTCCAGCAAATGATCGCCGTAGGCCTGGCCAATATTGGTCCCAGTTCGATGTTCGTAAACAAAACTGGCAGCATGAAAAGCTGCCATGGACTTTAATAACTGATTTATATGAATATCATTCAATTCGGTAGATCCAGACTGTTTGTAGCCTTTTAATGTGATATTCTCCAAGACCATGACATCAGAACGAGTGTAATAGCACTCCGGGCACCATTTGACACTGGCTGTGGGGGATTTTTTTTATAATACTTTTTAAAACCTCAAGGGCTACTTACAATATTTTCTCATATCAGCCAGAAGGGTTTCATAGAGCCAGGCTTCCTTCTGGAAAATAGCCTCCTTTTGCAATTCTGCACTCAGTAATGGAAGAGCTTTAATAAATAGCTGCACTTCTTGAACAGCTCCATCCTGAAAGTAGGCAAAACCATATATCAAAGTTTTCTTTGAATATTTACAATGTAAAATGTAAAGTTTTTCTTACTTTTTTAAATAGTTATTAAGTTTTAGTGAAAATATAAATAAATATTAGTTATTCAGTAATGTGTTTTACATAATATTCTGCCAAATAGATCAAATGTTTAAATAAATCTTCATTATAATAAATCAGCTGTCAATAAAAACGGAACATATTTCCATCTTATCTCTCTTAATTTAGAAAACACTCATAAAGACAGATGATTGATTAATTTTTGCTTAGAAATTAATTAGCTTATTGTAGGTAAAAGGGAAATCTATAGATTAAAATTACAAAATTGATTAGAAACCAATTAGATTGGAAATTTTTTCAAGCTGACAAGACAAAAGTTATTAAGCTCTTTCAAATATCAATCTATTATTATATATTTTACTTTAGACACCATGAATATAATGGAGCTTAGCCTTTCTTTAATATAGAAGCTTCAATTATACAAACTTTGATAGTACTTATCCTTTATCACACTTTATGACTTTCACGCCACCACTCTTATTTTACAGCATCCTACTTTGTATCCAATCTTTTCTAAAAATTCCTTGCAATAAAGAAATTATAGTACTTACACTACAATACTTTATAGACAAATTGTAGTAATCGCCAAGATAACCAACCGCATTCAGATTTTTATCCATTTGGTAGTCCAAAATTTCAACATTTTCGCCTCTCTTGACATTTTTTAATATTTTGACAGCCTCGGAGTGATCTAGTTCCATATTGCGTATACGCAGCGTTAGCCGTATTACGTATACGTTCGATCTTTCTCGCGCTCTCGTTCTTCCGGCCCTCCACTCTTCGTTCTTCTCTCTTTCTAGACCGCAGACGGGACTGTCACAGATTTTCCGACACTTTCCACTCAGCCAACTATAGCTACGTGTGTTGGCCGATCGCAACTGAGCGAGATTATACATTTTCTCACTTTTTATTTTGTTTCCATCCCAGCAAACAGCTGTAAGGGACTTACACACTTATCTTAGTGATAAGACCTAACTAAGGGCGTACCTTTTGATTGAAATCGAAACTATTTGTGACTTATGTAAGAAAATGAATAGCTCCTTTTGTTTTACTTTCTGTACGATGCTTTTCATTATCATTTGCATGCGACCTAATCCGATGCATCCAGATTTCCATACAGATTAATAGGGAATAATCCAAAAAATCTTAAAGAGTCTCCAGCTTTTGATGCAGATTAATGGAGAAACACTCCACAAATCGATTAAGGTACTCCGCTTAAGGATCAGATGGAAATTGGCAAAGATATGGCTTTCGCGGTGGGTGATATTGGGCTCCCATGCATTTTCAGCATTTTTGAAGGGGACCCATCAGAAAAATTGACAAAAAAGTGAAAAAATAATTTGTGTCCAGCTTTTGATGCAGATTAATGGAGAATCGAGCCACAAATCGATTAAGGTACTCCGCTTAAAGATCAGATGGAAATTGGCAAAGATATGGCTTTCGCGGTGGGTGATATTGGGCTCCCATGCATTTTCAGCATTTTTGAACGGGACCCATCAGAAAAATTGACAAAAAGTGAAAAAATAATTTGTGTCCAGCTTTTGATGCAGATTAATAAAGAATCACTCCACAAATTGATTAAGGTACTCCGCTCAAGGATCAGATGGAAATTGGAAAAGATTTGGCTTTTGCGGTAAGTGATATTGGGCTCCCACGCATTTTCAGTATTTTTGAAGGGGACCCATCAGAAAAATTGACAAAAAAGTGAAAAAATAATTTGTATCCAGATTTTGATGCAGATTAATGGAGAATCGAGCCACAAATCGATTAAGGTACTCCGCTCAAGGATCAGATGGAAATTGGCAAAGATATGGCTTTCGCGGTGGGTGATATTGGGCTCCCATGCATTTTCAGCATTTTTGAACGGGACCCATCAGAAAAATTGACAAAAAAGTGAAAAAATAATTTGTGTCCAGCTTTTGATGCAGATTAATAAAGAATCACTCCACAAATTGATTAAGGTACTCCGCTCAAGGATCAGATGGAAATTGGAAAAGATTTGGCTTTTGCGGTAAGTGATATTGGGCTCCCACGCATTTTCAGTATTTTTGAAGGGGACCCATCAGAAAAATTGACAAAAAAGTGAAAAAATAATTTGTATCCAGATTTTGATGCAGATTAATGGAGAATCGAGCCACAAATCGATTAAGGTACTCCGCTCAAGGATCAGATGGAAATTGGCAAAGATATGGCTGTCGCGGTGGGTGATATTGGGCTCTCATGCATTTTCAGCATTTTTGAACGGGACCCATCAGAAAAATTGACAAAAAAGTGAAAAAATAATTTGTGTCCAGCTTTTGATGCAGATTAATGGAGAATCACTCCACGAATCGATTAAGGTACTCCGCTTAAAGATCAGATGGAAATTGGCAAA